CAGACAGACAAACAGACAGACGGACGAACCCATTTTAATAGTTCCCTGCTTTCTTCGAAAGGCGGGGGACAATCAAAGTAGGAGAGTTATTGTTTTCCAAAGTCTCGACCAATCAAATTGCGTATCACTCTGCTTACCCTGAGCAGAAAATGCTCATTATCAAACTTAGTCAAGGTATTACTGTAATGAAACTATACACCAAGTTTCATCAATCTCACTTAATTTAATTAGAACTAAAGTTATCGTGTCCCAAAGCATCAACCAATCAAATTGCTTATCTCTGCTTACCCTAAGCGGAAAATGCTCATCTTCGAACTCCATCAAGGCATTGACCTAATCAACACATACACCAAGTTTGAACATTCTAGCTCAATTAGGAAGAGAGTTATCGTGCCCCAAAGTATCAACCAATCAAATTGCTTATCTCTGCTTACCCTAAGCGGAAAATGCTCATCTTCGAACTCCATCAAGGCATTGACCTAATAAACACATACACCAAGTTTGAACATTCTAGCTCAATTAGGAAGAGAGTTATTGTGTCCCAAAAAGTGTGACGGACAGACAGACGGACAGACAGACAGACGGACGAACCCATTTTAATAGTCCCCTGCTTTCTTCGAAAGGCGGGGGACAAATATTGTTTTTACCTGGCTTCAGTTCAGGTCTTTCACGCGCACAATACTGGATCTTCTATGAGTCACGTTCTATTTTTCACTCGGCAACCCGGCATATCTCTGCAGATTTCACTCGGCCAACTTCGGTTACTCCTCTACACCAAACCATGTTTCCAAACAGAGTTATCTTTCCGTGAACTGCAAATTATATTTTTAACAATGAGTTGAATTCTATTTTTCACTCGGCAAACTTCGACAGATTCCGGAAAACCTCGGCAGAGCTATATTATTATTGTTCGATTTATATAGCGCTTCATTACACGTGAAGTGTTTCTAAGCGCATATCACAAACATATACTTCAAACACACAGAAACAATCAAAATCAGGAGAACATAATTAAACACAGCTGCCTGTTAGGCGCTATTATTCAAAGGTTTATATCCAACAAATCAACCGGCTAATCTCGATATTGAACTCAGTCGAGGTATTACCTGATGAACACCTACACCAAGTAGAGTTCAAAAATAAAAACAAAGTTTAAAAGAATCAACTTCATTAACAAAAATTAAACAATCATAAACTAAACAGATAAATCAAATTCAAACGAAACAAATAAAACAAAGAAAATGAAAAGAGCAGTTCGTTACCATTCTACATTAACAAAATAAAGGAAATCAACTTGTGAAAATTTTTTCAAAAAATAAGAGCAAAGTAACACTAATGTTAATAATTATCAAAAGGAACCAAGATCTTAATGATAAAAACATATATTTAAAGTTTCATCCAAATTGGATAAAAACTGTGGTCTCTAGAGGGTCCACAACCTTGATATCTATCTATTTCTTAATTAATTACAGGTATGTAAATTATTGTACCGGTAACCTAAATTTTATGAATATTGTTGTGATGTTATGACGATGTGCAATGCATATTGATATTGTGTTTACCTGTTTAAGATGAGTCAATAAAAATCTTTTCTTAAATATTTAGCACCCATGCCATTTAATTGGACGTACGGTATCCGAGACTTTGTTTAATATTATCATAGCAATCCAATAGTACATGTACCTATGCCTATTTAAAGATACATTCCTGTGTACAAACTGGGTGATTTATGGTATTATAATAGGACTAACACATATTCAAACTAATTAATTTGTCATAATTTTGCTTCAAATCCTTCTCAAAACATTGTAATTTAGGCTAAATAAATAGAAACTATAATATAGCCAAAGAAATATATACTGACAGTATATATTTCAATGATATAACTCTACGACTTGTCACTTGATCCTTGATACATTTTCCAAACTGAGTTATCTTATCGAGACAATAGGCCTATCGTATGATTTCCCTACCGATCGCCGCCATTTGGAACAACGACACTGCCGTCACTTGACGTAAGGTTTAGCTTCTACCTACTTTTACGAAATTTCTTGATATCTTGATCATTTTAAATAAAAGCAATTAAGCGGTTATGGCTGAACTTTGTCTATTCGGTCATTCTTTTATTCATCGTGTATCCCATAGGATTGGTAATAGACTACCACGTCATTGGGGGTTGGGGGACGGATCCATCGTGTTTGGCGTAGCGGAGGGACGTCACTAAATTTAAGACAGTATGTAGGAAAGATTCCTGTTAGCGTTGATGTTGTTTTCGTTCAGACTGGGGGTAATGACATAGGTCTACACAATCAACAGGCTGTTCGCATTGTTAACGATAAATTAACTTAGTTAATTTGATTCGTCAGCAATGCCCATGGGCTGTTATTGTTGTGGGCAATTTGTTTGCTCGCCTCAAACCTCGTGGTCTGAGTGATAAGCAGTACAACGAAGTTAAGAATTCGGTGAACAACCTGCTCCGCCACAGGTTGTCATTTTTATATCGAGTGCTTTTTTGGAATTCCAGTCGGAAGACGAGGTATAGGGCATTGCACTTCGATCGTTGGGGAGTTCACCTTAATGCTGCAGGCAATCGTCTTTTTGCCAATTCGATTCGTGCAGCATTTATAATGGCTCTTTCCCTATTCAACGAGTGAACTGTTCACTTATTATTATTAATTCTATCGTTGTCCATTTTCTTGGTGGGAGCATTATGGTTTAGTAATGCACCACAATGAAGGCTACCGGTAGCCTTCAAATCTTAAAGTTAAACCTTAGTAAAGTGACTCAGGTGTTTGACATGTAAGTTTACATTTTTTTTTTTAATGAATATTATAACTTGACCTTGTAAACAAATAAAGATATCATGTGATCTTTTCTGTATTAAATTTATATGCATTATTTAAATTTGTAAAATAAAGAAGAAGCCAGTTAAATTTCAATAATTTATATTAAACATACATTATGCAAGAGCAAAATCTGCCTATTGTATTCGTAGGTCTTTCTTTTAAACTTTAGGCCTTAAATGTTATAAAAACTATTAATTACTAAATTAGACATTAATTAACTTATCCAGACCATAATCTATTAATCAGCTCTCATGCAATGTCAAGGATAGCTTCTCTCTGTTCTACTGCGATGTCCATTTTCGTTCAAATTACTTTTTAACTACACTTTTTTTGTAAGTTAGGATGTGACTAGGCTAATGAAGATGGATGTTAGAATGGTTTTAAGTCATTTCAATACTTGTTTGGAAAATAAAATGTAGAAATGATTTAATTATTGTACTCATTGAAGTCATAGAAATGTAGGGTAGAATTTGAGCAAAGTTATGACTTACATTGAAATTTCCCTGATTGCAGGTGATATTGACATTCGGGTTTGCGTTATACTCACACTCACATGTATGGAAAGGATATCTTGACATAATTACTTGCATTACATGTATTTAAAATGATTTTGAAGCTTTTCCAGTGACGTTTATTTATTAAATAATCACATGAGAACATTTAGAGTTGATTAAGCATTGACACTTTGGATAATTCTGGAATGGATTGATCAATTAAAAATAAGTTGAAGAGGTAGTAGTAAAAAGGATATACATTAACAATTTAAAGTCCCACTGTCAATATTTGAAAACAAAAATCTACATTCAAATCTTATCTGGAACAGTTCATTGTGTTACAAGCCATTTGTTCTTAATAGATAGCCGAATAGGCTTCTTCATTTCACTAATTTAAATGATGCATATGAATTTCATACAGATTGGGTGATAACTTTTGTCGTTCAAGCGTTCACAAGATTCAACAATGTGAAACAAGGGCCATAACTCTAGATGTACTTAACGGAAATTTGCTGAAACTCAATAGGCTTGTTCGTTTTACTAATTTAAACGATACCTTTAAATTTCATACAGATCGGATAATAACTTTTGTCGTTAAAGCAACCACAAGGTACAACAAAGTGAAACAAGGGCCATAACTCATGGCGTAATTAAAGGAAATTGCTGAACTTCAATAGGATTCTTCGTTTCACTAATTTAAATCATGCATATCAATTTCAAACAGATCGGATGATAACTGTTGTCATTAGAGCGTTCACAAGATTCAACAAAGTGAAACAAGGGCCATAACTCTAGATGATTAACGGAAATTGCTGAAATTCAATAGGCTTCTTTGTTTTACTAATTTAAATGATGCATATAAATTTCATACAGATCGGTTGATAACTTTTGTCGTTTGAGCGTTCACAAGGTTCAATAACATGAAACAAGGGCCATAACTCTAGACGTAATAAACGGAAATTGCTGAAATTCAATAGGCTTCTTCGTTTCACTAATTTAAATAATGCATATAAATTTCAGAAAGATCGGATGATAACTGTTGGAGTTAGAGCGTTCACAAGGTTCAATAAAGTGAAACAAGAGCCATAACTCTAGACGTAAAAAAACGGAAATCGCTGAAATTCAATAGGCTTCTTCGTTTCACTAATTTAAATAATGCATGTAAATTTCAGAAAGATCGGATGATAACTTTTGGAGTTAGAGCGTTCACAAGGTTCAATAAAGTGAAACAAGGGCCATAACTCTAGACGTAATAAACAGAAATTGTTGAAATTCAATAGGCTTCTTCGTTTCACTAACATAAATATTGCATCTAAATTTCACAAAGATCGTATGTTAACTTTTGGCATTAGAGCGTTCACAAGGTTCAACAAAGTGAAACAAGGGCCATAACTCTAGACGTAATAAACGGAAGTTATTGAAATTAAATAGGCTTCTTCATCTCACTAATGAAAACAACATATATCAATTTTAAAACAATTGGATGATAACTTTTGGCGTTAGAGCGTTCACAAGAAATTGTGGACGATGGACGGACGGACGTACCGACAGGCGGACGGACGGGGGCGACGGCAATATACGTCTACATTTCAGTGTGGGCGTATAAAAACCAATTTAGCCAAGCATTGCATTTCTACACCCTTTCACTGAAGCAACGTTCCTGTTCCTTGAGCAGGGTTATCCTGTGACAACACCAGAAGATTGATATATGGGTGGGCTGGTCTAGTGGTCTAATGCATGCCCTTTTGATCATAAGATATGTCCTTGAATCAATTTGAGCCAAGCTTGTATGTGACAAGGAGTAGAATCTCATGTCCAGTATCGTGCATTTTTTCCCGTTCCGTCAACATGCTGCCAATGGCTATACAAGGGCCCTTTTTTCTTGTCCAGTCCATCTTGCCCTTGCAACAAGACGAAAAAAGGCTGGAAAAACCTGAGGAACTTCATTGGCCAGATTAAAAACAGATTCTTATCAATGAGCCAGTGTCCTACACACTGAGTCAGAACCCACCGAGCCAGCGGTTTACCCACAGAGGTGGGTCTTTACCCACTGAGACATTGTCTTACCAACTGAGCTGGTGGCTTAACCCCTGAGCCGATGGCTTATCCACAGAGCTGGCACCTCATGTACTGAGCCACCTTGGTTTTCGTTCTGCTCTTGTATTGCACATAAAAATGCCTTCCTGGCTAGGCAAAGATTTGACCTTTAATTGATGAATGCCATTATTTAAAGTTAACCTAGATATCATGTCTTAGTAAATCGTTTTTCATTCCAGGTTTCTGCTTACACTAAACCTGATCAAGTGATAGAATCTGTCAGTTTTGATACGTTGCTTAAAGAAGCGGAGGTGTTGAAGAAAGCTGCCGAGGATGCAGGAGAAAACGTTACAGCTACTACAGCTGAGGGAACTGATTCAGAAACTGAGACCAGTGACACAGATGTTGAAATGAAGGAAGAAGTAACAGATTCACAGGCTAAGAAGAAATATCCTAGAAAACCACATTACCGTCATGCTGATAGATTTATTTTAAAAGCTGCCCAGGCACGACTAGACGAATTCATAAAAGTTAAAATGCTAAAAGATCTACTGTTTGGACCTGCTTTCCCTCATCATATCACACGCCAAATTAACGGCTTACTGTATAACCTCCCCGTTCCAGTTCGCTTTATAAATCATTCCACTAGAAATCAGATGTACACCATTGTAACGCAAAGTATGTCACCGATCAAAATTGTCGCATTTCTCAAAGCCAACGGTGGACAGTCTGGTCGCTTTCGTTTAGTCGACAAATCAGAACTTCCGACACATAAGGACATTTTACCAGAACTTAAAAGTAGGGAAATTTTAACTAAGATCAAATCCAAATTTTAGTAGAAATTTCAATTTTGATTGGCTAAGCACTAAAACCAATCAAATTGTTGGCTTTTTTTTGCTAATAAATATAAGTGCTAGTCTAATGTCTTGTCTCAATTACATCTTCAACAGAATGGTTTTGTTTCTAATTTAAAATCCAAATATTTGTCTAAAGTCTTTACCAGTTGTGTGGTTGAGTGGTCTGATGTATGCTTTAGATCATAAGGTCTGTCATTGATTCAAGTGCCATGGTTTGTGTTGAAGGTACTTCCAACCTTATTTGTCTTATTTTCGCCAGTCATGTTTGGCCGTTTTGACTGACTTGCAGTGAAATTGACCAACTGGAGAATACTAGTAGATCATAAGGTCTGTCTAAAGTTTAGACAAATATTTGGATTTTAAACTAGATTTATAAGGGGCATTTTAAAGGGGCATTGGCGCCATTGGGTAAGATTAGATAAGAGCTGACAGTTCTCGCTATAATAGTTCAACAATAAATAATAGAAACAGAAAATGCTGAAATTTCAGTCAGATTGCTTTGCTCTGAACCGAGATATAGGTGATTCAGTTTTAGGCTACAGAGCCAATTTTCTGAAAGGTAACCTTTTCTGTGGTTCAAGTATCTGATGTGAGAATCTGGGCCCTGTTTCTCGAAATCTTAACAGTGGGAATGCAGTCGACCCTACTCTTGGAAACGAAGCTAAGTCACTTCACTAAATGACAGACCTTATTATCCAACACGAATGCATTATCATTTGACTCCACCCCCTCCCCTGCAGTGACACATGAATGTTGTGACCAATAACCACTTTCCTGTCTTAAGGCCTTTGAAAACAGTATTCCTCATTATTAATTTGTCCCACCTAATCATGGTTCATGAATGCGTGTTCTCGATATGTTGACACTTCTACGATGGTGGGTGACTACGAGTCATGAGTGAAATAATGTTATTTCGTTTAATCTGTTATACTAATATAGAGAAAATACAATTTACATTTTATGGATATAACTTTTATGGATATAACTGTTACAACAAATAACACATCTTCACAAATTTTTAAGTTGACCTCATTTCAATCAAAGTAAATACATGTACCCGTACTTAAGTATTGTTTATATTCGCGTTACGTTTGGTAGTGGAACCGTGACACTGACATATTGTACATCGTTGACTTCAGGGTTAGGCTTGTTGTCTACCAAAGTTAGGTTAACATCTTCCACTACACTGCAAAGTTAGTAACATCATCAAGCTAACCTTTGCTAAAAGGTTAATGTTAATAACATCCACCAATTAGTCTATACACTAAACACAAGACCTGCAGCATTCAATCTCTGTGATCTGTAAATAATTAATAAAAAAACATATGAACTTACTTCAAATTTACACACTATAACTTATTACATAAACTTTATGTAGATAAGGAAAGTGAATTTTGAGATGCACTCCAATGACAAGTAGTTGATTTACATAAAAATTTACAAAAATAAGAACTGTTAATGAAAATAACAAACTGATTTACCTCAAGATAGATAATTGGAAATATTTTCTATACTTTTCTTCTTAAAAATGAAAGGGCGTAGTTTTATTATAAAACAAGGAACATGTACTACAAAAACATATAATTATTAATGTTCCCCCTCGCCAACACGTACATCTATTTAAGAATAACAGAAACCATAAATTAAAGGCGTTTTTAGGACCCGAGCTTCGATCGAGACATAACACCTTTAAAATACAATGATATGCTATTCTAAAATAAATAACCCTATCACCATTAATAATCATGCGACTGATCCGCCAGCATGAGGTCCCTAACAATATCTATTTAAGAATAACAGAAACCATAAATTAAAGGCGTTTTTAGGACCATAGCTTCGACCGAGGGATAACACCTTTAAAATACAATAATATGCTATTCCAAAATAAATAACCCTATCACCCTAAATAATCATGCGACTGATCCGCCAGCATGAGGTCCCTAACAATATCTATTTAAGAATAACAGAAACCATAAATTAAAGGCGTTTTTAGGACCAGAGCTTCGACCGAGGGATAACACCTTTAAAATACAATAATATGCTATTCCAAAATAAATAACCCTATCACCCTAAATAATCATGCGACTGATCCGCCAGCATGAGGTCCCTAACAATATCTATTTAAGAATAACAGAAACCATAAATTAAAGGCGTTTTTAGGACCCGAGCTTCGACCGAGGGATAACACCTTTAAAATACAATAATATGCTATTCCAAAATAAATAACCCTATCACCCTAAATAATCATGCGACTGAGCGTTAAAAATATCTTGTCGAAGTAAAAGTACTGTTATTCCCACTATAACGGATGGTCCACATACTGAACCACAAGTCTGTTTTGGATATAAATAACACATTTCCTGACATGCATTATGAGGATAGCCATTTAAGTTAGGACTATGTGCTATTTGTATTTCTGCCACACTTAAACTGTTCATTAAACATGAATTATAGCCACTAATAAAGTTGTTTAAATTGAACATTAAACTATCTGGTATAGCTAAACCTAATGTATCAATATAAATGACTTTATTAATAACTACATCGTATACACAGAAAGAAAAATGATTCCCATGGATGATTTGTTCTCCGGTTTCAATATTTATATCTTTCCCAGCTAAATATGTGATTGTTTCACCAGTACTTGAGTGTGTTAAGGATTTAACACAGAGAACAAAAACAAATTTAATGATATTAGGATACTTAGCATACAGCCTTGAACCTAAATTTTTAAGATCATGGATGCAATTTAAATAACCAACATAATCTGAGTCAGATATACGATCTTTCAACAGTTCAATCATTTTTTCAATCACTGAATCGCTTAGCCATCTATCACACAGCAGAGTTTTTAATTCAGATACTGACAACTGATAATTACCAGAAATATTAGGTTTGAAAGAATCTGTATTGTTCAGGAGAATGTTTAATTCAACAACCTGTTCAAAGTTGATATTATCTATTGGTGTAAATAAGGGTTGCCAATTCAAAACATATTTGTTTTCATTTTCCAACTCTTGTCTTACTCTTTTTGCAATGTAAAAATCACGAAAATTTTTATTTCTCCCAAAGTGAAATTGTCATATGGCAAATCTATATAAAAGTCTTTGTCATTCTGTATAGACCCAATAATCTGATCCAAATCTTTAATTGGAGGCATGTATTTTGACTCTTCACATCTAAGAGAATTTAATATTTGTTATGTTTCGTTTAATAATATAGCTTCTACATATAACAACAGGCAGAATTTTGTTAGGCAATGAGAGATTAATTCTACTAGTACTATTAGTATTTTGTAAAGCCATATTTGAGTACAATGTAACTTGCTCACCTGTTTTAATTTCCTTAGATTATACTGAATACCGTGGCGTACTGGAAAGGTCTTTGAAACCAATTTACGCTGAACAATCTAACACAGTACAGTAGTATAGTATTGTATGGTACCTTCTTCCACCAATCCAAGTGAAAAATCAAAACCACTATTGATGAACACTGAAATAGAAACATGTAACTACCCTAAATTCACATATTAGATAGTAAAAGCTTAATTGATTCTATTACTCTAGTTAAGTATAATATTTGAAATTAGATCTATAATATATAATTATGATTTTAATAAATCTTAGCTGACAATAACGTGCGGATTTCATTCAGTTTTAAAATTGGTACTATAGGGCCTAGCCAGTATAGCGATTCTGAAGGGAAAATACCGCTTACATAGAAATATATAAATTTATATATTTCTATGACCGCTTATGACTCATGACGTCACTCAAATATGACAGAAAAGCACTTATTTTGGTGCCATCCCACGCATTGACTGGTATATAGAGCGTTTTGATCATTTGAAACTTTGAGTTTGACCTGAAACCCTATTAATTAATAAATAGGTAATATTAATAAAACAATACTACTAGGCCTATTTATTAGTATTTAGAATATATATCATATGTAGGCCTACATACACTGTCATACAGTGCCTTTATTTACAAGTTACATCTGATTTATTAACTGATTATCAGACTTATCCATTTGTGTGTACCTCATTGATCATTCTCAGGCTCAAGTTATACTCCTGACAAGTCCACGAGTCACGATACTGTGACCCCCTGTTGGTTGCTGTTGTACTTACTTGTAGTTAAACTGTCACTACTACAACTTAAGGGGTATAAATAAAATGCTTGAAATGAAGTCGGACTAGGTAGATATCTAGGCCTAATTATAATGTAGACTTGTTTTCATATCGATTACCCGACGCCAAGACCACTTCTACTGTACTAGCACTAATTTCAATGTAGGCTACTTAGTTAGTAGTCTTACCCCAAAAGTTAGAAAAGACTTCGTCAGCAAAAAAAATTATTTACAATCGGTACATCTATGATTAAGATTTGATTTATGCAGTTTTAGTCAAATACTAGCCTACTATTAAGTAACAAACTTCATTTACATTACCCAGGTCAGAAAATCTCCTCAGAAAATAAAAGACAACTGTTTAGTGTTTGTAGCCCAATAAATATAAGAAGCTGACGCCGTTAAAAACAGTGTTAGCCTAAACATCAGAATATTGCGCCAAAAGCAAACCAGTTAAAAATATAATTTGCGGGTCACGGAAAGATAACTCTGTTTGGAAACATGGTTTGGTGTAGAGGAGTAACCGAAGTTGGCCGAGTGAAATCTGCAGAGATATGCCGGGTTGCCGAGTGAAAAATAGAACGTGACTCATTGAAGATCCAGTATTGTGCGTCTTTCACGTCCACGGTCTTCATTATGAATTCGAAACTCCCTGTAAAATTTGCCGTGTTTTGATTGGCCAATGAAGAAAATATAATAAGCACGATCGTTTAGTATATAAATGGAGTTATCTACCTTTAAATAATGAACGTGAAATGGGCATTATAAAGGATATCCATGGAAATGGAATTGCTTTACCAGCATCAGTGCTAAATCAGGCGAGTGAAGTGTTCTATCAGGGAAACTTTGCTGGGATAGCAGCACAACGACCTACTCTCATTTCGAACTGGTAGGGATGGCAACTTGTTTTCTTCTGCAAATTAAATTCTAGAAGAATTTGTTCTAGAACAATTTGTTCTAATGATTGAAAATAATTAAACGTGTTGGAAGTAAATCTGTATAATAAATATTTCCTATTCAGTGTAAATAGGTAGATAAAATAGGTAGATAAAATAGTACGCGGAGGCGTAAAATGGATAAAAGTTACCAATTCTGGCGGTTAAATCTATTTGATAAGGTCAGCTTCAAGTTTGGTCAAAAGTCGCGAGTTGTAAACAGAGCTAACGCTAATCCCAACCCTAACCCTAACTCTGGACCTATCCCCAATGCTTACCCTAAAAATGGACCTTGTATTATGTATTATAAGGTCTATGCCCTAACCCTAAACTACAATCTCGCCAACAATCAAGTGCCCTAACCTTATTTACACCTCAGTGACCCTGACGAAAATTGAACTTAGCCAATAGATTTAGCCAATTATGCCCGGACCATATGGTATTATTACGTCCGATATAAACATCGCACGTGTTATCGACGCCGTATGATGTAATATGAAACGTAGAACTATACTGGGCGTCACCTTAAAGGTTAATCATCTTGTACAGTGTTAAAAGAAGCTGTGAAAGTGTTGGGTTATTTGAAGTATGTACCACTACAAGATTATTGTACACGGACTAGTGCGACTTTTAAACGGAAAGGTTAAATTTTATCCGTCAATTATTGTTATTGTAGTAAAAGGTAATATTATACCAAGATTATTTGTTGTATTATTCGGTGTATAATTATGACCATGTGATAGTTAAAGATACATTATGGGAGATTTTAATAGAGAGTTGACCATTCTTGCTATAACAGTTCAAAATAGATGATGAAAGAGGAATATATTGAAAATTTCAGTCAAATTACTTTATTCTTCACAAAGTTATCACCATTGTAATTTCTGACTAGAAATAGGAGTCAACTCTCTCTTCACCGTCTCCGAGAATGGCCGATCGTATGATTGACAGGGCAGGCGTTAACTCCAACTACATACTCTCGATTATCAAGTAACGTTTTCAAAGGCTGTGGTACCGCTAGCCTATTCGGTTTGAGACGGGGTTGCAATTCAATTCGTATCACATTTATTTTTACTAAAAATTAAAAATAAGACTTTAAATATATAGATAAAAGCGAAAGTGTGAAAGGAATGGACCAAATCAATGAGGCATATTTATCGCCGACTTCTTGTTAGCCGGCGTGTACTCTTGTACTGCAACTGGTAGGCCTACGTAACTCCCGAAGCAGACAAATACTTGAAATATATATATCGAACTTTCAATCAAATTGACTGACATACGGCCTCGCTCAACAGCTGCCTCGCTTCGTACACTCTATCATTTAGCCTCGATCTAAAATTTCCGGGACTATGACGTCAACGTAACGGTTAATCTCCGCTTAAGACGCCATTTAAAAATTTAATCAATCAATGAAATCCTGTTTAAATCCAAGCCGAATCCAAGTCATCCGTGGGTCTACAGAGTTGATTTTGTGCTTGTTGTGTAAATAAAGATCTAATTTATGATTTCTATGGTGTATTCCCACGAAGGCGCAGTTACAGAGCGTGACCAAAATTAATCCTTCCCACGAAGGCGCAGATATGGACTTGTCGGCTTTCGTTTGAAGAGAGGCATGTTGTTATTAGGACCCAATTAACGGTGTTAAAGATTTTATGAATTTATGTTCACTCTGAATTTTATTCACCAATTGGCAACTAATATGGTGGCTGTTAGCGGCCATTCAAATGTCTTCTAAATCGTCGCCTTATGAAGACCGCGACAAGTCGACAAAATCAACACGACAACCCGCCTTCATTTCGTCGACTTGTCGGGTCAGTTCTGTCGACTTGTCGCCTTCGACTTATTTACAACCCGACAAGTCGACAAAATACAATTATTTCGACTTGTCGCCTCGGAAGTTAATCTGTGCGCATGCAAGTTATCCAATCAGCAAATGCGCAAGCTCGAGTTTGACTTCAAAGGCGACAAGTCGCCGCACGACAAGTCGAAATAATTGTATTTTGTCGACTTGTAAATAACTTGAGGACGACAAGTCGACAAGTCGACATAACTGACCCGACAACGCGACAAAATGAAGACGACGATTGTCGGGTTAATTCGTCGACTTGTGGACTCAATTCTTCAACTTGTCGACTCAATTCTTCGACTTGTCGACTTGTCGGGTTGTGAATAAGTCGAAGGCGACAAGTCGACAGAATTGACCCGCCAAGTCGGCGAAATGAAGGCGACGATCGTCGGGTTATTTTGTCGTGTTGGCGGGTTGATTTTGTCGACTTGTCGCCTTCTTCACAACATTTGAATGGCCGCTAACAGCCACCACAAACTAATGATTAAAATCATCAAATTATCCAAGTATTCAATATGAATCTTAATCACCAATTGAATGATGAATATCATCAAATCACCCAAGTAATGTTCACCTATTCGCTCACTCTCAATCAGTGTCATTTTTAAAGATGTATAAAATTCCGCTTCACTATCCGAAATTCAGATAATATTCTACAATAGCAAACGCACAACTAGAACTCACAGAGGAGCACAGAACCAACAACACTCTGGAAGGATGGCATGCAAGAATCAAGAAGCTATAGTTGGAAAAGCCCATCCGAATGTTTTTGAAATGATCACATTTTTACAATAAGAACAAAATATTAATGAGATTAGAATCGTTCAGTGTGCTGGGGGACAGGAACCACCAAGGAAGGAAGAGATATAAATATGCTCAAATCCAAAGCCAGCTTCAGGAATTAAAAGGAAGACACGAGGAAGAGGAATTGACTTTAGTCGAGTATTTAGACAGGGTGTAGTTATGGTTTTATTTCTTATGCCAAAAATGATGCTAAAATGTTGGTTAATTAGTTACATTGGGGATTATGAAAGTGTAAATTTTTATCATAACAATCTATAACACCATTGTTACGCTTTTAATCCATTTTAATCCATAGGTGCTGGATTCCCACGAAGACGTCGAAAACGACCTCGTTTAATCCGTTGCGGTCAATAACTGCGCATTCGTGGGAATAATCCATTTCGGTGTTCTATGACATCTGAAGCCTAAATAAAGACTTGCAATAATCAGATTTAGCTCTTGCATAATGTATGTTTAATATAAAAGACACCTAAGTGTTTCTATTGAATAAAACCGCAATATATTACAAAAACTGATACCAGGGTTGGTGTTGGGGGTAGATTGGGACTATGGACAATTTAACTAAAAATTTATTTTATCTATTATTATTATTAATATCTATTATTATTATTATTATTATTATTTATATTATTATTATCTATTATTATTATTTTCTTTTATTTATTTTTTGCACAACACTACAATCTAACTAGCTTTTAAACCTCGTTCGTTCATTCACTGAGGCTTAACTTCTGCTTGCAGCTTGGGTGATATCGCAGAGAGCGTTATGAAAATCGTCTTCTAAAACTGGTTGTACCACCGAATCGTTCCCATAAAACCTTCCCTGTGTCAGCACAATATTCAGTATACCATACAATTTAATTGGCTACAGAAGACACGCCCCTGTATTTACGTGTGTTGGAGAGTGAGGTGTGTGGTGAGAGGGAAACAATTCGAATTGACTAAGCTAATGGAAAAAATGTCAATGGTATCAATTAGACACGTCTGGGACAACTCCACCCGATGTTGGATTAACCATTAAGCAAAATAAGTAAGCGCTTAGGGCATTATGGTAATGGGGGCACCAGTGTCTGTTTTGTTAGATGCCAAAATTAAAATATTTGATTTAAAAAATTTAATTAAGGGTTAGTTTTTTTATTGTTTTTGTCTTGTCATTACTGTTAACTGCTTTGTCGCCATTAATAATGTCGTGTAAAAAATTCCAGAAAAACTGTAAGCACGTGCTTGGTAGTTGTTTGTGGTTTATTGTGTCCACGAGAGCACCATGCAGAAATTGAAAAAAACGATAACCCAGGGGGTCAGCAAATTTCAACCATACTTGGTCTATGGGGACCCCTAGGCGACAGAAGTCACATGATGGAGTGAAAAAATTTTGAACTGACAACTTTCGGTATAACTGGAAATTGTTGTTTTGGGGCAAAAGTTGACATATTTCGACCAATTTGTTACCCTAATTTCAAAACGCTCCTACCCGAAAAGTTATGTCTCTAAATTTTTGATATTGGTCAGGTGTGATAGGCCTAGTAGTCGTCTTAAACTCCTGCAGTCGTTTGGGAATGAATGAATCATGTGGAATTTTCTGTGAGTGATCATAAAGTGGTCATTTTACATATGTTTAAAACTATGCTATCCTAAAACGCATGTAGCTGCTTCTTTGCAGGTCTGACATAGAATTGCTTGGTGTGGTTGTGAAGGGCATTTCTCAAAGTAAATGTCAAAAGAAAAAAACTGACCGGAACGCAACCCACTAGAGTGCTGTAATATTCTGAAAATGTGTAAAAACGGTATTTTCCACGAAATTCGTCTTTTCACTAATGACCGAATACTATTTTCAAGAGTTCAAATGACCGTTGATTATGAACATTAGTACTATTTTTTGTTACTTGAACGTTCCTTGTGCCAAATATACTATCTTGGTTAAAAATCACGAAGTTTTTGTGACAAAATCGGACGTTCGCGGTCATCGTAGGAAAGGGGCTTAACTGGTGTATAATTTTGCAGGATCAGGCAACGATTATTCTCACCTGTATTCAGTAGTTAGTAGCACGGAAGTGCATAAATGTAAGGACTGGCATAGCAAGCTTTTATATTAGCACAATTTAACCTAAGCAGCACCTTTTCAGCAATGACCAACGATTATCTTCAAATGACTACTGATCATCACCATTACTTGTAATATTTCGTAATTTCAACGTGAATCGTGTCAAATAGATCATTTTGTTTAAAATCATAATATTTTTGTGACAAAATCTGACTTTCACGCTTGCTTGATAGCCATAGGGAAGGGTCATAAGTGGTGTGTAATTTTGCAGGGATCAGACCACTGTTATTAAGATCTGTATTCATGAGCAGATCATCGTATAAATTTGACTGACATGACTATCATAAACATGATATCTTTTAATTTGTACACCTGCTCATGTAAAGAAGAACCATAAGAAGAAACATTCAGAAGTGTTCATGTAGGTACATTTAATGTCTGGTATTGAAATCTCTGAATCATGGCATAGATCAAAACAGGATTTATGGCACTCCAGGATAATGTTGACAGCATGTGCCAAACTTCTACATATACCTACGTTCGAGCAGAAGTGCTCACTTACTTAGATTCCTACGTTCGAGTGTAAATGCTCTCTGACCTTCCTTCAAGGTTTTTGGACCACAGAGTACTGTTTTATTTTGTAGTACTGTTTTTGACCTCTTCTCCTTCAGGGATTTCAATATGGAATTATCATAGCCTCCCGATCTGTATTGCCTCTCCATGAAAACGTCCAAATGTTTCCATACAATGATCGGCTCCTAAATACAGATGGGAATAAGCTGGTCTGATTCCTAAAATATGTTTGACCAAAATAACCTATTTGGCACAAGGAACATTGGCAGAAAAGGTGTTGTATGGTCGTCTTGCTGATTGTGTGACTACGACTTACTGTCACTGGATCATCTACAATCCCCTCGTCCTTAAAACCTGTTACAAGTACATCCCTCAGAAGCACTTCTTTTACCCAAGAGCTAAAATATGCTTACACTGAATCGTGTATCATATTTCACCTTTCATTATATAATATTTATAGAAGACGATTTGTTCTGTTTAAATTGCATTGGACATTCATGAAACTTGTCGCTGGTCTAACACATAGACTTTAGATCCTAAGGTCTGTCATTGGGTTAAGTGGTGTGACAGCATGCCGGTGACATGGTGTGGTGTTGTTTGTTCAACCTCATGGATATTCTCTTTTCCCACAAGTGTATTATTGAAGTAAAATTGTACCATATGTTAGTCCCAAAATGACCTAGTTTGTGTTGAGTGGACCTTAAACCCCATTCCTCTCTCTTAAGTCAAAATCCCCCTTGTTAACGAATATATTAACTTTGTGATGATGTCCATAGATACAGTATGCATCACCATATTATGCTAGTCCAAAAATGACCTAGTTTGTGTCCAGTGGACTTTAAATCTCATTTTACTTTGTTCCTCTCATGTCTAAATCATCCTTGCTAACGACTAAATGGAATATATTAAATTTGTAAAGATGTCCATACATATACTTCATCTGGGGTATTGATAGACGGGACATTTTATCCTAATTTTTGGTGTTTTTAATATATTTCTCCTGTTTTTATTATGACTGTTCCGGTCATTTTTATTTTTTATTTTGTTAGTAGGAAGGTTGCTAGTTGTGGGTAACATTCAACTTCGGTCCTAGTCCCTGCAAAGAACGAGCTATAGTCTCTTAAACATTGGTTTTCATTAAATTCAATTTTCAGAGAGAGTTGGGTATCCGGCCAGTACCAAGGTAGCATTAGCAGTAGAAACTTCAAAATCAGTGTGAAGGAGGAACCTGAGTGGTCCTACTAATGCCCAAAATTTTGTCTATCCAAATCAATTATTGTCCGAATAGCAGGTCATTTGGATCCAAAATTGCCTATTTTTGGCTTATTTTTCGATTAAAAAATACTTTTCCAATTTTCCAGGTCGGTATCAACTGAATCAATCTAATATTTTGTGGGGATGTATCTGGGTACTAACCCATCTCACAGAAAAAATTTGGTCCAAATCCCTGACCCAAGGGTTATCACCCCCTGCATGGTGCTCTCGCGGACACGCTCAAAATATTTTGATATACATCATAATGTTTTAAATGCTTAGGGCCTCTGTAGGTCTTAATCCAGTATACCGTCTCCACCTAATTATTTCTATACAGCTGAGACGTCACTCAGTATGACCGTGTTTCTGTATGTACAGTTTTGCTGACATTTACAGATTAAAATACCCCCCCCCCCCCCCCCCCCGAAAAAAAAAAATACGAGGACAAGTTAACTGAAATGGAGTTATTGCATAAATCGACACGAAAATTCAATAAAACTTCCGGCTTCTTACACAATTTCCTTTCCATCGCATGTACCGGGTGAGAGACGGACATGACCGTAGTTGTTATTTGCATGGGGAACTTGAAATATCTTCACCAGGAAATAATATGTTAATATGTTTGTTAGTGTGTTTATAAAACCAAAAAAAAAGAAATTCCCCCAGGATTATTGTTATAAACATATTTAGTAGGCGGGTGTATTTTATAATGTGTGACATGTTTCCGTAAATAAGACGTTGACTCGGTAACCTGGAGGTTCCGAGGTCCTTGACAGATGATATTCGAAAAAAGAGTAAGCCGTAGGGCCGCTGTCCGGGTAAAAATTTCCCGGCGTATGCACGTCTTCATTAGCCGAGCAGGTGCAGAACAGTGTTGTTTTTCATTTCAGTTTGTAAATGTGTGACAAGTTAATGTTGGGACAGAAATCAATGATTATTTAAGGATATAATGTAATGGTACACCAATGTATTTATATCCTGGTAATAAGCTTCCATGTATCTCTAATTTCCCTTATTAACATATAGAAGACACATTCGTCGTAGCTTTCTCATCACTGGCCTATTGAAGGTAAGTTGTCAAGTCCACTTTTTGATAAAAAGCATCAATGTTTTGTTAAAATATACAAATATACAAATGATCTTCCGAATAATGAAATCTGGATTCGTGTATTTAATGCGTGGGTATTACATATCATTCAATATATTTGTGAATTCAATCAAACATATTTTTGACATGCCGCATTGCTAAAAAATCAAATCAAATCCAAACGTAAACGTGCTATCAATTTTGTTAGCTATGAGAACCGTTTAGACAGAATCCTTTGGGCCAACTGATGTGAATATATTCAGATAGAGAGAGGGTTTGTCCTCAACACTTAAAAACACATAGAAACACAGCAAGTTGATCAGATAGTGTGGAGATATGATAATATGGTTAAATAGGTTGTTGTTGTTTATTACAAATTTAACGTCCAATACATTAATATGATATTATGGACAGGTTGATTTAATTCGGTTATTTACACTTAATGGGTTGAAAATGGGTAAAAACATAAAATAAAAAGTTCTTGTATATAAAAGTTTTAAAATCGCCGTTGTGAGAAGAGAGGGTGGGCCATCTTTTCACTTTGTCATAATGAAAACAAGTTAAGCCGGGAGTTCCAGCTGTTTGGTGCCATCGCTGCGAATTGAAAAATTTTTGTGGGAAAAAGAATCTGGTGTTTAATGTGGAAAAGCGACGTTCTCTCAGTAAACACCACATATAGTTGGACCGATGGAGTATTTACAAATAGTTGGACCCCTGGAGTATTTACATATAGTTGGACTCAAAATGTTCGTGCAGTTCTTTCCATTCAAAAAATTTCTTTGTGTGTAACTCTTCCCAGATAAAAGTTACCTGAAAAGGGAAAGAACGGCTAGCAGCAACACAGAACAGAAGAATTTAAACATTTATAAGAATAATACATTACACTAAATACACATTATATAGATTTATATGCACTGTCATTGTTAATAAAGGGTTGTGTAGGTCCCTATACCTTTTGTCTGGTGAAAATAAATCATAACCCTAGTCCAATTCTTACATATTTCAATCTTGATGTCCATGCTGAACATTAAGTTGATACCTAGACTCCACCTGTTCTGATATTACAACAATAGCTTAACAACCACCGGACCTACTCAAAATAATGGGAGATGGTATTATATCTAGTGTTCTAGAAACAGTAAACACGTAGGCCTACTACTCAGCTAATTCCAGAATGATTCCATATAACCATTGTACAATCGTGAAGCTATGAGGACAGTGGCGTTTTCAATCACTCTTCGTCCAATGGAAACTGTTAATAGTTGTTTACATGCCCCAAACCACTATCACAAGAGGGTCTCGGTTTTTCGTACCATCCCAACGACTGGACAATCCTACGAATGTCGGTCAACACCGAGAACGAACCTGGCATGTCCTAGTTAAAAACTACATACACGCTGAGCCGCCGCAAGTATTCTAACGTATGCGCTTTATATCATAGGGTCTGCTATTGAGTCAAGTGACAAGGGGTCGGGTCGACTGTTCCAACTTAGGGGTTTTCTTTGGGTTTCACAAGATGTCTTCCCTCCGCTATATAAGGACCCCTACGCGAAAGTGAATTATTGAAATAAAATTGTAGGCCTAACATTTTTTAATTCCCGAAGTGTGGCCTAGTTTGTGTTGAATGGACGTTAAACTCTCTCTCTCTTTCTCTCTCTCTCTCTCTCTCTCTCTGGAAATGCTCCTAGGCAAACCTCAGCCATAGCACTGCATTTGAAAAAAATGTGTTAGTATAAATATGATCTTTGGAATGTGTCGACGTGACTAATCATAATACTCATACCATAGTTATATTTATTGTCTAACTATGTGGGTATTATTGATTCGGGGGAAATAATTTTCCGTAAATTCCAAAATAAAAACCGTCACGGTCATTTTCATTTCTAATTATTAAAAATATGTCGTTACTTATAAGACGAGCGCAGTTATAAATGAATATCGAAAATAAAAGTAGATCTCATTTATCAATAGCCAGATCATTCTTGTATTTAACTTTATATGAAAGGTTTAATTTCGATGAATATGATAAAATGAAAGTAGACTGAATGTCTATAAATATGAGTACATTCTAGTTCGATATGAACAGGCTGCTAAAGACTAGTATGTTTTAAGACTATTTATTATAACTTTTATGTTTTCATCTTACACCGATTAAGCGCTTTACGAAAATGCGGTAGTTTAGGTCAAATGAACTAAAATGAAATGGGGCCAATCAGTCTTATTTGAGGGAAAAGTCTTATTTGGAATTCCATGTGTCAAGGGTAGTATATTTTTTGTGAATATTCCTGATTTTTAGACAAAATTTGGTGAAATTTCAATACTGTTCACTTTATCTGTGCTTTCTGAGACTGAATAAGCCAACATTGGGCATTAGAATATTTTACTTACTGGTAAAAATTCAATAAAAATTGAAAATTGAGAAATTTGCAGTAAAATCACAATTTTTCTTAAAAACTTTGATTTTTTTTTTTTTAATTAACTTTTTTTAGTTTTTCTGTAGCCAAACTATTTTATTCATATTTTCTGAGAATTTAATCTTCATATTTTCAAAACTAAGGCATATCAGTGACAGCCTTATCACACACAGACAGGACACAGATCACTAAAGATTTCCCCATTGACTCCAATGTTAATTCTCGTATCTTAGACCTGCTCTAACTTTTTCCCAAATTTTCGTTGGGTAGAACGCTTTCTACCACAGATGGAGCAACATGTGGCAACCACTTGCCCAAAAGCACGTACCATGAGGTTCTTCATGAAAAACCTGGCAGAAAATGTATTTTCAAACCCTTTTCCTCGATTCTACACCAAAAAGTCAACAAAAATCGCCATGCAAAAGGGGGAAAAAGGAAAAGGGAGAGGAAGACTAAAAATAGCTTTGGCCCTTGTTTCGTGGGTGACGGCGTAGGAATATTTGGTGATCTGTGTCCATATTACAATTTGATCGTGTTACCCGATTACCTCCCCACTCCACAAGTGGAAATCCTCTAAAACCAAACTAGTTTCACATTCGATATGAGAGATTGAGAAAACCAGAGGAAAGACGATTGGCAACATGACAAGATGTGTATAGAGCCGGTCTAAGATACGAGAATTAACATTGGAGTCAATGGGGAAATCTTTAGTGATCTGTGTCCTGTCTGTGTGTGATAAGGCTGTCACTATGATATGCCTTAGTTTTGAAAATATGAAGATTAAATTCTCAGAAAATATGAATAAAATAGTTTGGCTACAGAAAAACTAAAAAAAGTTAATTAAAAAAAAAAAAATCAAAGTTTTTAAGAAAAATTGTGATTTTACTGCAAATTTCTCAATTTTCAATTTTTATTGAATTTTTAACAGTAAGTAAAATATTCTAATGCCCAATGTTGGCTTATTCAGTCTCAGAAAGCACAGATAAAGTGAACTGTATTGAAATTTCACCAAATTTTGTCTAAAGATCAGGAATATTCACAAAAAATCTTGAGATTCCCCCATTTCTATGTAGAAATTAATATTTTCATGACTACTAAAATGAGTCAAAATGTCTAAAAATGCCCATATTTTCTTTGCTAATATAACTTAGATGGGATCTACATGTTTGTCAGGTTTAGAAATAGCTCCAGCTTTCCTACAGAAAATTGAAAATTGGTAACACTGAGTTAATAATGTACAGCAGATGGGTTTGTACAAAATGTTCAAAACAGGGGTTGGCTCAATTTTGCCACTATTTTACCCAGAATAAGCATTTTTTTCTTCTTTGAAACATTAAATTCTTGCATTTCCTTCATGTAGGAAGCAATATCCCAGCCTTTCTAGACATTTTTTACTCCATCATTCTGTTTAGAGAGGCAATAAATGCCCCACCCCACCCTTTTCTATTAATGTGTTTTGAGGGATTTAAATGCACCTGTGTTGACATGTAAATGATCTTAATTGGAATTTGTGGTTGAATTACAGCTAAGAATGTTATTTTTCACCCAAAAATATTGTGCATTTCAAGGATTTCTAACCCTTATTTGTTCAGAGTCAAATGTAGAACCCTGAGGCATTTCAGGCCAATGAGACCAGACCCAGATATAAAACTGGTGTAGATGTTTAAATGTCAGTTTAATGTTCAATATTTTCTTATCAAAATCCAGCATTTGTGGTGTTTGCTGCATTTATGTTGCCTATAAAACAATAAAATGTTAATTTTTCTCCTTTTCAGGCCTCTTTTTATGTTGTCAACTCTGTCATGACTACTTTTTTGACTTCTTTTTTCAGGAAATTAATGTAAAGTTCCAGACATCTTGCTTCAGCACAAGGATTGCAATACAAATTTGTAATATGCCTCTGAGGTTTGAGATGTTGGAAACATTGAAATATTCCCAAATTTGTGAAAATTGTGTATTCTGTGACCCTTCTGTTAGAGAGGGGTGATCATAGACCAAATATGGCATTTCTTTCATTCATCAAGGCCTATTTTTAACCATAATTCATATTTATTGCACTTATTTTAGTTTATATGTGCATATGTTAGCCAGGGATGGTAAAACATAGCTGTTAGACAGATTCCTTTGGTAATGTAAGTTCTGCAACCATAGATTAGATTAATTCAATCAGTGGCATGTTCAGGGGGTAGGCATACATGTTTCAGTATAGATCTCTAATATTACAATCATTGCAACTGGTTTGCATTTTTTCTGTTTGCATATTGTCCACAGATTCTAAAAATATATTTCTTGTCCGTCCGGATATTTAAAAAAGTGGAAAATTATTGGTATTTTGAGAGATGCTACATGTAAATTTTGTACATTTTTCATCACATGGCAGTAAAAAATTATATTTTTGAAAAAAATTCCAAATTATGAGTGTTTTCTATGTAGTTTCTTTGTAACTTGTCTAATTTTTTCACAGAACTCAGATACTGCCTTTAATAAGAAAGATTTTTAAAATTTAGCACAAAAGGCCTATGGACCTGAGATGCACCAGTGTACATAAAGCAGCATGTGTACTTAAAT